TTGTATGTGGAACAAAGTAGGGTTTTGATACAACAGTCTCTGCTTCTGTGCTAATGTGATTCCAACCCACTTTAATAGACCTTCCAAAAAATATTTTTTTGTGAGATGGTACCCATTAGCCATGGTGAATGAGCTACTGGTGTTGGTGTCTCACTATTATATATACTATATGCTGCTTAACATTTATATTTAGTGCTTTGAGAGGTATAGGGGGCAAATACATGTTTTTCAGGTACAGATTCACTGTACTCTTGTGCTTCATGAGTGCTGCTCATGTACAGAAATAAAAGGTTTGTGTACAGAAAGACACACACATTGTAATCTTCATCTAAAAATCTTCATTACGTTTCCTACTGAAGAAAGTAATTTGTGTTAAACTTTTTCCTCAAAAAGGAAATATATCTTGACTGTAGCAGAATGTCTATGTTGATATTAACTATTTATTTCAATTTGACAGTTGTTGGCTTCTTAGTTGTGTTCTTTTTGGCTGTTCTGTGTACTGCTTAAATTGTTTCAACTGTGTGTGTCAGAACTGCTTTCCTGTTCCCAAATTCAGGGGTTTTGACTCTCAGTTTAACATAAGGATGAGGCTCCAGGATCAGGAGGAGGTGCCGCGTGCCCTACCCTGATGCCCAGTTTGGGTGAGCAGGGAACCAGGGCACCAAGGGAGAGCGAGGGCAGCCCTGCAATACAGTTTCACTTCAGGACTCAGGTCTTCTGGCCTTAACAAACAAATTAGAACAGTTGGTTTTCATTAACACTGAATTGCTCTAAGGCAGCTAAGCTTTTAGCTCCTTCTCCTAAATCTTATTATATTCTCTGGCTCTGCTGGTTTGGTTTTTTTTTCCATTTTCATGCTATGGTAGTCCTTAATTTTGGTACAGGCTTCTGTACTGCTAACAGTTTAATTGCATAGGTTTTTAGTTCTATTTAAATGTGGAGATTTTGAGCAGCTACAATTGTATTGAAAGATACACACACGCAAAAACCCTAACAATATTCATTTATAATTTATTTATTAGTGTAATGTTTAATGCTTCCACAAGAGGCAAAAGATAAACATCATTTAACCCAGGCACAGAAAGAAAAAGCAGTTTTTACAGACATCCCTCCCTCTACCCACCTTTTTCAGACTAAGATTTTAACTAGGCAAACAGAACAGGAAGGTTTAGCCACAAGTAAAGAACAATGATATGAAAAGATAAGGTAGCTCTGGGGTGAGAAAAAATTGTATTATCTAGTGTCAAAGCAAATGCCTTAGGTTTGCTAAAGTAACATAACAGCATGGAAAAGCATCACTAGAAATTGTTCAGACAGATATGTTGTAAACATCACATAACCATAATTAACCATTTTAGGTGAAAGTGTAAAATGCTCAGATTTAAGGAAGTCTTGAATAATGCTTGAACCTCAGCACCAATGAAATGATGACAAAATAGGATATTCTCTGATTCTGAAGCAGCACCTGCCCCAGTCACCACCCACAATGATATTCTAGTCCCTTCCTCTTTGAGTAACACACAAGCTGTGGTGTAACCAGGTTTGATCTCAACAGTGGTGGGGGGGATCAGCAACTGCCTTGTCTTGCATTTGAGTGAGTGTGTACAACAGTAATTTGGATGTCAGTAACACTTCAACACTGGGTCTGCCCTTCATTACGTACATAGCCTAAGACTACAAGGTTATTTTGAACAGCCATACATTAGAACCAAAGTGCAACTTTAAAAAAAAAACAAAAGAAGCTGAAGTTTAAGAACTGAACTTGAGAATAACTTTTGCCTAATTAAAAGATGACCAAAACAGACGTAGGAGTGGAAGCTTGAAAGGACGTTGTTTTCCCTAAATTATAATACTTTTAGCTCAATATATCCCTAAAAGCAGCACACAAGGAAGCACAGAAAGCAGAACCTGTGGTCACAGCCACTTTTGTGTTATTGTTGTTATTGTCAAAATCCTGATTACTTCCATTAACTGAATATTCAAATCCAGGTGTGTTTGGTTTTTTTTTATTCTTTAATAAGAGCTACAGACTTATTAGAACCTGATGTGCTTGAGGTAAAGAAAGGTATGAAACATACATGAATTTGGTATAACATTACAAAACCTAAAAAATCTAAGTAGCAGCAAAAGCAGCACTAATAGCACTCTTCAGGTGAAACAACCCATGTAAAACAATGTTTATCAGATGACAATACTTCCAATTTAAATTCTTCAAACCAAGCATGTTGCTTAGTTAGCCTGGACACGGATGCTTTTCTCAGGTAAATAATATTGTGTTGATAACAACTTATTAGTAAGTTGTACTAATGAAAACAAGGCATCTGCATTTTATGCAGCTAAAATGCTGGACCCACCATTTTCAGACTTCATCCTAAGAAAATTACACTTGCCAATTCTGATAATGCATTATATGAGCCACTAAAGTTTCTAACAGTGAGGCCAGTAGGCATTGTTGGCTAAGAACTTTGGACAATTTTATTATCACACAGTTGAGTGGTGTAGCATGGTTTCACACAATTTTTAGCTGCGCAAGGAATACAAAATCTGGCACTAGTTGAACACTGCAGATGTTAGGCTAGGTCACTGGAGAGCTAGAGTCAAGTCTCCCACCACCTGTCTGTAACCATATTCCAGATGAAGAACATCAGCAATCACTGCAGCTCTCTGCATGACCCTGGCTAACTGTAAAGGAGACTGGATGGCCAGAACTCCTCCCATGCCTTGGTCTCCCTCTGAGCAGCCTTACTTCTAGGCTGCTGTAGCATTAATCTCTCTTATAGGGCTGCACATCTATAGGAGGTGATGGGGAACTCCTCCTTCCCTTACTTTGGTGCCATTTCCCTGCAATCACCATTCTGAACAGCAGGTGCATTAAAAAAGCTTCCTTGTAGGTATTGCTTTGAACTGCCACAGCCTGAGGAGAGAGTGTATGTCTTCAATGCATATATACATTTATGCCATTAATGAGTCGTTTGGTACTGGTGATGTCACCACTGCTACTTCTGGCAGCATTTACAAAGGAAAGTGAGACCTGATCAGCTCTTGAAAGGAAGGGTGTAGGTGCCTGAGCCCCAGGAGAATCATAGAATGGTTTAGGTTGGAAAGGACCTTGAAGATCATCGAGTTCCAACCTCCCTGCCATGGGCAGGGACACTTCCCACTAGACCAGGTTGCCCAAGGCCACATCCAGCCTGGCCTTGAACACCTCCAGGGATGGGGCCTCAACAATCTCTCTGGGCAACCTGTTCCAGTGCCTTACCACCCTTAAAGTGAAAAACTTCTTCCTAATGTTTAATCTAAACCTGCCCTCTTCCAGTTTACATCCATTCCCCCTCGTCCTGTCACTACATGCCCTAGTAAAAAGTCCTTCCTGTAGGCCCCCTTTAGGTACTGGAAGGCTGCAATAAGATCTCCCTGGAGCCTTCTCTTCTCCAGGCTGAACAGCCCCAGCTCTCTCAGCCTCTCCTTATAGGAGAGGTGCTCCAGCCCTCGAATCATCCTGGGCCTGGCCTAAGAAATACAAGTGGAACAAGACGTCTGATGTAGTAAAACATGCAGGGTTCTAGGTCTAGTGAGGCTTGATTGGCAAGTATTTGTTATTTGCTTTTTATGCATTAATTCTGAATTACTGTTCCAAGATGCCTAACCTCCCTCGGTATGATGTCAGATCTTCAACTGTAGGGTCACAATCCTAGCTTAGGGACTACAGGCCTTCAAATTAAGTAGTGTGACGTTGGACTTAAAGGCATCAACATCCTGTGCTGCCCCTTGCCTTAAGTTTTATTTGGTGTGAAACTACATGCAGGTTCTACGACACATAGATGCTATCATGTTACTACCTTTAATCCTTTCTGAATGAGTGGTACTGTCTTAAGGATGATCAAAAAGAAAAAAAAAAGTGATAAATATTCCAGTAGCTGTATTTTACTAGCCACTCCATCATAATAAATAAAAAGTTTAACGAAACATGATTTGAAATGACATATTTGAAGTGGGCTAGCTTCTGTATAAATAGACAGTTTGACTTCTCATTCAACTCTAATTGACTAAAATACAAACTAACACAAATGTGTAAAAATATGTCAGAAGTAGGACCAGAACTTAAGTCTGGAGTTTCTACCACTGATTCATAAGAACACTTCCTTTGTTCAAGTAAAAAATTTCTCTTTACATGCAACCAGAATTATCTGCATAAATTTCCAAGTAATTTGAACCGGCATAGCCACATATTCCCATTACAAAGCAATAAAAAAGTGTTCTCAACTTTCAAGGCAAAGTTTTCATGATATAATTAGACTCTAGTACAGTGTACAGTGGTGATGATTTTGACACAATGTTTTCTACTTACTAGATTAAAAAGCATTAATCTCCTGTTCTTCACAGACATCCTACATGACAACAGGAAGTAATTAATTAGTCATTAAGCAAGACTACAGGATTTTGTTTTTTCTTGTTTTCCAGTATAACTGCTGAAACATTAAGATAAAAACTGTGTCAGAACACGTTCCAGAATGAAAGGGTAGCCTCAAAATTATGCACCCCATACAAACAGCTAATGAATAAAGGGTTAAACTTACAAGTGCTAAATGCCATGACTGCTACTGAGAGGAGCAGGACAAAAACAGGTGCATGGCTACTGTCAGCATCTGCAGAATCCTAAGGTGCACATCACAGATGCGCTATGAATATTCTCTCTTGTTTTCCAAACTACAATATAGTGCATGGTTAAGACAGTATGAAACAAATATTACATGATTCCGAATTGGCGTTTAATATTTACAGCAATCTTACAAAGCCTAATAATTGTAGAAACTGAAATTTTTGCAATGAGAACAATGCAATAAAAGATAACAGCAAGCGCTGTTTACCTTCCATAGGTACTCTATTTTTCTGCGTACTGTTCAGTTATGCCTCGGTATCATCAAAGACAGACGATTCAATCTTAATTAGCATCTTATCCTGCTTAGGAGTGAAATGTTCTGGTTTCTTTGAGTTTGTAACTACTTTGACAGAGTAGTAATCTCTTCCGTTCTCATAGCATCAGACAGGAAACTAAGTTCATTGCACAGTGTTTCGTACCTGAAGGCCATCCGGATCTGTGCAACGTTTGTCTTTCGAATGTCATTTCCCTCAGGCCCTTCTTTACAGTAATTCACCCCTAAGAATTTCTGTTTTTCCTGTGAACGGGATTAAAAGTAAAAAGGAAGAAATCAGTTCAACTGCTTTGATTTATTGTATAACTGAGGATTTGTTAGTTGAATGACTCCAGTGCAAGTGAAAAGAGCTGCTTCAACCAGCTGGCCAGCTGAGTCTTAACCAGATTTGTAGATTTTAAGGCCAAAGTTTTTATTTATAATATATATACTCAGCAGTGCACTCAGTCTGGCTTGCTAAAACCCTTTGTGCTAGTGTTCCGTCTTCACTTCTGCATCTTTCATGTGAGAGGTCAAGAAGAGGCGTAGGTTTCTTTTGTTAGTTAAATGTTGCACAAGAGGAAAATTAGTAGTTGTCACTAGAGAATATTGGAAGGAACAATGAAATATACTCGTAAAGCCCCCTCGTATACCAGCTCCTTGAGAGGAATGTTTGAAAGTGACACTGAAGAGAGGATGCTCTAAAATAAATCCTAGAGAAAGCCATGGATGTATAGAATTTTAAAGCCAAAAGGGAATTTAATCTAATCTGACTGCATATCCAAACCAGAATATTTTCTTTAGTACTCCCTTCTAAGCAAAAACATGACTTGCTTATGACAGGCGGTTTGTTTTTACTCAATGCAAGACATGATGTATAAAATTACTGGCAAAGGGATATCACCCAAATAATTAAAAGTTTGGGACTGGAGGCAGAACTGAGTATAAACAGGCACCTGATCTCTCTACATGTTTTGGGAATGCCAAAACAAAGCTAATGAAGAAAAATGTAACATTAATACTTTTATTAATATAAGACTGCAGATAGTTTGTGAATATTTCTGGAAAAGAGGATAGGGATGTGCACAAATACATCACACAAGCACTTACTATTCAATTTTTAGACTATTGACTTCGCAGTTCCTACATGCCCTAATATTCACAAAAGAGATTTTTTCGGCCATAATTACCTTATCTGACAATCCACTCTGTAGTACGCTGTTTCTTGCTATTTCACACAAGTCACAGGTACTTAGTTTCCACACCTGGGCTGCAATAGCATATTCTTCCATGAGAGCTTCCTGTATCACCAAAATAAGTTTAATATTAAATTATATGTAAACAAGATGTAAATGGCGATGTGTACTCATTACTAATTAAGGCTCTTACACATGCTCTTTAGATAGCTGTGAAAAATTAGAGGTTTAAGACTTTAACATCAAAATTAGTAATGAACAGAATTGTTTATTTCAAATTTCCCAAGGGCAACTCTTAAATAATTAATAGGCATCGGGTATCCAGTTATCTTAGTCTAAGAAATTGCAGCCTGCAGTCCAGATCCTTAGAGGCATTTATTAGGCAATTTCAAACGAGATCCCAGGGTATATAAACACCTTGGAGGATCTAGTCCTAAATTTTTAATGAATACGTACATGGACAGATAGCAGGGCAATTTCTCACTTCTGACCTTCCGCACGTGGAGGTTGGGTCTGACTCTAGTGGGCTGTCACAGCTGAGGAGCTTCACACTACATGTAACTCGGCTGGTGCTGCATTACAGCCGTGCAAAAAGCCCCCACAAAAGCTCTGTCTTTTCTAGCAGAGACATGTCACAGGCCAGAAGCAAGCCTGGGTGAAGCACACCAGAGCTCGGCTTGTCTTCAGATCACAGACAATTGAGCAATGGACAGGCCCCTCTAGGGCACAGCATGACTCACGTCAGTGCCAACCACAAAACTGGGGCATGGAAAGCAGTGACCAGGCATTTCTGTCCTGCCAGGCCACCCAAGGGCAAGAATCAGTTTCAGTTCACTGAGCAAACCGCTCATACGTCATCTCAGAGATTCCACATTGTGTTTTTGTAATGTACTTCCCCAGATTAATTAGTAAGGAAACTGGACTTTCCTGGCACTCTAGAGGATTGTTTATGAAGGCTCAAACCTCCCTTCAGCCTCATCCTTCATTCTATACTTCAACAGCCAACACTGGAGAGGCAAGAGTACAAAAGAAACATAATTAGGAAATCAGACATTTCCCTCTGAAACCTAACAGTGAGTAGTAGACTGAGAATGAGGAAGAAGAATGAATGAAGTGACTGAAAGACATGAAACTGTATTATCCTAAGCAATGATATAAAATAGCTTTCAGGTCATTCTGCGCCTGTGTGGTACTGTTGCCAAATTTAAAGACAAGTGCTTTTTGCAATTCTTACCTTTGTATAATGAAACTGCATAGGATCATCTGTGGAGAGAGAGACATGAAGTCCCTTATGTAGAAATTCCCGGAGGGGATTTTTTGAGTACTCCAGGAATAGGCTGTTGTTACTAAGTGGAGACATAGCAATGGGTATTTGTGCAAGATAATACAGATACTGGAGGACAGGACTCTGCAAAACAAAACACAGTCGGCATTTAATGGTACTATGGGATAATGAAAAAACCAAGGATTTCCCTTGGATAAAATGGAAACAGCGTGACAGAGGGAGGACTAAGACCAAAAAAAAAGTTAGGTTGAGAGTAAACTCTGACTTCTTTAGAAAATATTTAGAAGTCTGAATTTTAAATGTTACTGATCTTTATAAAAATAATTTATATCCTTCCACTTGTACATCAGCTTCTTTTTAAAAATATGGTAACTAATACTACTGTAGATTAGTAAGTATATATGACTATTAAGGGCACTGCATTTGATACTAACTGCATACCTTCCACCAAAACCTGAAAGTCACAGATAACAGATGTGCAAGAACTGCTAAGCAATTTGTTATTTTCAAAACTGCAGTCCAGTAGGTAAATTTTAGGACCAGAAGAAGTTTTAATTTATTAGAAGTCATCTGTTGCTGTTGCACATAATATAAATAATTTGTGGTCACCCCATCTTTGTTACTATTTTTGGCTTAACCAACATGGCACTTGTTAGGTTCACATAATAATAATAATAATAATTATTATTATTATTATTGTTATTATTATATCATCATCTGCTATTCCAGGTTATCCCACCAGGCTAAGCAGGAGAGAGTGAAGAGAATACTTTGGTCACATACAGCCTTAGTACTACTCTGTGCCTAATTTTAGGAATTACTGGTTCTAAGCATAACACCAGACATGATTTTAGGCAAAACTTTTCTTTGTTCTTGGATATGTTGAAAAATACAGAGAGAATTTTCCAGTATTAACCAGAAAATCCAACTTATAAGAGAAGTCTTTCCAAAATATTTCAATAAACTCAGTTCAAGTCTGCCACCCACTGACCAATTATTTTAATTACAAAACGGTGGCCTGGGGATGAGTTGTACGACCGTTTTATTAACTGATACGACAGGAATGATAACATTTGTCCTGTCATAACAATCAAGTTGTATATAAAATATTGCTCTGTTACACAGATTTGTTAAATTTCTTGATCAGGTGATCCCAGTTACTGTAGACAGAAATGAACTTCTGAATGAACCTTGAAGTACAGGGATCCAGTCAGGGAAAAGACCTTTGTCCCTGTACAGCAGAAACTAGAGCTTTCCTTAAATTTTGGGACCCAAACCAGGGAGTAGTAACAAGTCTAAGCAATTTTTTCCATGTAATTTTAGCTCTGCTTGGAGTAACCAAAAACAGGTGCTGCCAAGTCCTTGGCATATCTGAACAGTTGATCTTCCCTATAAAGACATAGCTTTAAAATATTCACCTAGGGAAAGCTGTATTTTTGTAGCTTAAGTAAAAAATAGGAAGTTCAGCTGAGCTTATTTATTTCTGAACAAAGTGAAGAATTACTTGTGCCTTGCTACGAAAATCAATTTGGGGCTGCCCAGATAAAGTCAATTTGGTGACTGCTCTTTGAACCAGTGACTGATGTCTAAGCAGATAGTGATTAGTTTAGGTGAGCAACCAAGCGATACCTTCTTCAAGAGCAATCCGTGAGAGATGTTGTCTGCTGTCAGAAAGGCAGATACAAGGTGTGTGATAGACCCAGCTTCTCCACAGTGAGGTCGGAACAGAAAAGTA